CTCATCTTAAAGTGGCCAAGTTTGGACAACACTGCTTTAATCCAACCTTTAGGAAGCAGTTCAAGATCTAGATCCAGCACACTGCTCGGGCAAGGGAGCCAGAGAAGCAGGGAAACAGAGGTGATCTGAGATCAAATCCCATTCCAGGACAAGAAGGAAAATGAAGTAAATACCATTAACACATTACTTTCAAAGTCTACTGAGGAAGAAGAGAGAGGGAGAGAAATGGAAGTGTGTACTCCAAGAACTGCTTCAGTGCGGTTCAACCTCACATCAATGGTGGGCTGGCAGGCCTTACCTGGGAATTCGGTTGGAAGGTGGTGTGTGGGGTCGAATGCTTCTGGAGGTTTTCAAGCATCAGGGCCTATAATGAAATAAGAGATGAGATTAGAGACTATCTTGCTGCCCTGAACATGGACAAGGTCCAAGTTCGGAACTCACTGACCAATTTCTTCGGGGAGCCTACCCTGAAGCCTGTCAAGCAATACCTCCCATCTGTTGATCCATTAGGAGAATAAGTGGAGTTGTATTAGCTTCCCAACACAGGCTAACCTTAGCTATGCAATTCTCGGTCCTCAAGGCAGAACCATCATAAAACACCTATCTCCATTTATCTCCATCCAATCCACCGTGGCCTGCTCACTCAGTCTGCCCCATTGATAAAAACCCAGATCACTCTACACCAGGTTTTCTGACTTGTTCAAGAACCGTTCTTCTTTCATATTTTTTGATATGACCTTGACCAGGTCTACCAAATTATTCTGCCAACCAGGAACAGACAATCAAAAGTCTCTGCTTTATCTATTTCTACTAACATTTAACCATACAATCCTATACTTTCAATGTCACCAAACAAAATACAAAGATATAAACTTGATCAGGACTGATTCTGCTTGGGAGAAACTGGCTACCTCATCCATCTTTCACACAACCAACCTTTATCTAAACACTTCACTTGTGGTGCTCAATGGCAAAACACTGAAACATGCCAATATGGCACTAAAGAAACATGCCCGCTGGCCAAGCCTTCCTGTGCCATGCAAGACTCTGATCAACGCAGCATAAAATAAGCTTTTGTAGGAGCTGTTAGCGAAAGATCTTGGAAAATTGTATCCTGCATAACTGCAGCAACCTTGTCAGGTAAATTATAATAGTGGCCTCTTAAAGGAGGGATATTGAAACCAAGACATTGCAACTAATATCAGGTTTTTATGAATCCTTTGGTCCGCTCCAAGCATCTTTAAAACCAGTCATCTGCAACTGAATAGTCTAAAGGTAATTCAACTGGATTAAATACCACACTACAACTAAAGATTCTCTCCTGGGACAGATTATGCCCAAACAAACAAACCAAGGCAGAAAACCACAAACAGTCAAAAAATAACCTGCCACCCAATTGACAGCCCCCTTGTATTCCCAGTCAACGACATTCACAGGAATAAAATACGGAGATCAGTTACCTACCTAGAGCCAAGACAGCGTATTATTTGAAACAGCTAAGAAAGGTGCATATAAAATCTACCCTTGAATGTGGTAAAAGGTTGGACTGGTTAAAGTGGTTGCATGTACTGTGTGACTACTGAACATTTCAGTCATGGTCCAATGTTCCGGGAAGCTCAGCTTGCTTTGTAAGCTTGGGGATGTTATTATTTGTTAGTTAAGCCTACTCGCAGCGTAACTGAGCTGGAGGCAAACACAACAGCGTTATAGCAGCGCTTCTCTGCTACTACAATGACAAGCACGCATAAGCAGAGGCACATGGAATGGGTACAGTACAGCACAAGACACATGCCAATCCCAGATAAACCACCTTGCAACATATGTGGTTTCAACCAGGTAGAGCAGTGTTTCTCAACCTTGGAAACTTTAAGATGTCTGGACTTCAACTCCCAGAATTCCCCAGCCCTGCTGTA